CAAGCCCAGTTTCTTTCCCCGCACTAGCATAAATCAAAATATCGGCCCTTAGTGGTATTTCTGTACTGTTAAACTTTCAACGGGTTATCAAATGGGCTGGGTTTTCACGGAACAGACGCTGAAGACACCACCCGTGTCCTCGTTAGTACACTGTGGGTTTTAAGGGTCACACACTCTGGTCTTGGAATATCCAAGTATTCGTATTTATCTGACACATGTTTGCGTTAGAGTTGGTTAGAATAATCAAATCTCTTAAGGGGTTTGCGTTCAAGTATCTAATCCATTTTGAAAAAGGTTTCATCCAACGATAGTATATGCAACTAAGTGATGCAAGATATGATTGACCCTATTTTAAATAATTTCATGTTCGAGTTTATCCCTTCTCCGTTTTTACGAAAAAAGATAAAAAGACGTTTGCACTATGACATGCTTAAGTCGTAAATAAAAGTGCATAACACTTGAAAGTGTGTCTTCACTGTATAGTACACGCTTACGCGTAGTGTCAAGACAAATTGTAAGGATAAAGTTAGACAGTGACTGGAAGGATTTGTAGAGTTTATCATCTCTCAGCATTCATAATAAAATACAATTTTAAAACATTTACTTTTTTTCACACAAGTTCTCTGTGGTTTACACACTAATTAATATATAATTCACACTCGTTGGAACTATCAGCATAAAAGGATGCGGCCGTACTTAAAAAAGCTGTGTTGATTTGTGTGTTCTTCTCAGCAAGGCAGTCGGATAAGTAAGTAGATGTCCATTGTAGCGTGAAAAGTAGGGTAACTGCATTGTCCAATGCGAATCTTTTTTCCAGAATATCCACAAAATATCATAAACTGATTTCCGAACAAGGAAGTCAAAAGGCAAAATGTTTGCAACTGAACCAGTCGTCGGAGGATGTCCTAAAAAAATTAAAACATTATTAACAACAGTGAGGATCAAGCATTTATTTCCTTTTAAGGCAAATGGAAGGAAGTAATGAGGCACATGTTATTGTACAGCGCGCTCGTCGATTTGGAAATTTCACCCGTAAATTTTGCTCTTCAAAAACATCATGCCTATAAACTAAACGAAGAAAACGTTAACGCATTGCCCGGGGACGCATTGTCACTGAGCCCATTTTGCTCTCTTTAACTGGGCTAAATAGTAATCTTGACTCAATACATTTCTCAAATAGAGTGCAGTATCTACTGATGTATTAAAAAAAGATTCTGATTAAGTTGTTAATAGTTAAACTCTTAACTAAGGCTTACTTGAGGGTCTCAATGGGGTTAACCGATAGGCGTAAAACGGCCAAAAATTTAGTCGATAGCCGTAAAAATTGAAACAAAAAAAAACAAAACAAAAATTGAACCGTTCATCGTAAATAGGGTAAAAAAGAGTTAACCGTAAAAGAAAGTGTTCCCTAGATTTGTTAATTCTAAGGAAGGTGGTAGACTCACTTATGGTTTCCTTTTTTTTTTCCCGGCTACATTGACTCCGTACACACGTTAGGCCAAGCGCCTAGCTTTTAGGTTTTGACGTAGACCCAGGCTCCATTTCCGCCGCTCTCTCGGGGAACTAATTTTTTCCATAGCGAAAATCAATCTGGCTTCTTGCTGGGGATTAATGTTTGCGATTTTCAGGTAGTCGTGCCCTCGAAATACTAGTCAAACAACACTATGTTACCAGAAATCCATAAGGGGTTGAACAACCCCTTATGAGTTTCTGATGTTACTCAATGTTACTGTTTGTAAAACACGTTGCCGATAAACATCAATTCCCTGTTTTTGTCCGACACTACGGTAGACATTGCCATGCCTAGTCCCTGAACGGCGTCTTTCCACGCAATCTTGGTCAGAGCATTTCGGTGGCGTATCTGGGAAAAAAAAACTCGCTAAGACCACGTGACCCGAAAAGCATTAGCTGCGCGGAATGATGAGACTCATGGACAAGGCAACGGCAGACAGTCGATCTGTACAGTCCTCCGCTATCATTAAAAACACTGGACACGGCAATTTTTTTTTTATTGGCCGTTTTCACACTAGAGCTAGAAATGGAGTGTCCGTCTGAGACTACCCTGTGTACAGTCGCCTCCTCCCCCACAGACACCCCTTCTCCGATTTTTTCTGAGAGGAGGAGGCGGCTATACACAGGCTATTTGAAACGGATAATCCATCTTCAAACTGTCCGTCAAAATTGACGGATAAAGTCAGGCGGATTATTCATTTAAAATTAAAACCATTCCATTTTCAAATTAAGACGTATTACCTATCTGACGCGAATTATCAAACGGATAACCCGTCTCATGCGAATAATCCGTCTCTAGTGTGAAAACGGCCTTTTCTGTTATAAATGAATGTCGCACCTCCGGCCTTGAGTTGAGTGTTCGCGTGTCTGCTTTTGCTTTTTGACAAGGATTATTTTTTAATTGACTATTGAAATTTCTGTGCGCAAAATAATATTGGAAGTGGAATACTTTATAAAACGTATGATCTATCAAATGTTAAAATTTTTCAAAAGAACAGCTTATTTCATCCCGAGATGATCCTAAGACCTTTCTTTTGCTTTAAAGATACAAAAAATACAGGTTTATTAATATTTAACTGTTTGAAACAAAAGAAATTAATTTTTAACTTCTTTTGTTAACCGTAACTGAAAAAAATTAACCGATAGCCGTAAAGGAGCCAAAATTTTAGGACATTTTAGTCGATAACCGTGAAAGCCACCACCCCATTGAGACCCTCTTACTTTAAAGATCTTTAAAAACTTAAAGAAGTATTTACTTCGATTAGCATAATGACACCTTCACAAAAAATAATAAAATAAGAAATACGACATTTCATTTATAAAAACTGGAAAGGCACATTAAAATTTCCAACAACTATCGAAATACTTACTTAATTATAACATTCGTTATTTTCCTGAGGTTGCGAATGTACTCGATTCTCAGCCCTTCTATTAATGGTTTGGTTCTCCACTTGTATTGTAATGTCCTCTAGCCTTTGTATCGCGCCTTGCCTCCTGATGTCGACCAGCTCAGGGGCCTGTACTGCAAAAACTCCTTGTTGACCAGCTGTTATTGCGGCCAAACAAATCTTCGTGAAAAAATACAGAACAATGGTCATCATTATCAGTAAAAGCAGGTTTGGATCCATTTCGATCGACAGAATAAGCATTGGTATTTCTTTCTGACCTTTCTGTTCACTGACGTCGAAACACAGATCGTTATGTTAAGAGCAGTGTCAACTCATTTCGCCGTTTTATGTTTGTGTTAGTGTCCGCTGCAATGCCCCTCCTCAAAAACATATTCAAATGACCTTTGCGGCATTCCAGTACACTTAACAGTCATTTGTGTTTCCACAGTTTCGTTTTCGACCGGAAGTACTACTAGATGCATGAAAAGTGACATTGATAAACTGATACACTCTGCATTAAAACGGCCTTCTAGGCCCCGTTCGCACAAATCTGCAACATTTTCCGCAATTCACTCTGTAATATTTTTGAATCCGTGGCACTAAATATCCACTGACGCGACGTCTCAAAATCGATCCCAGTTCTTTACCGTGAATTGGGCTCGATATTGTGACGTCGCGTCAGTGGACATTTAGTTTCACGGATTTAAAAATACTACAGAGCGAATTTCGGAAAATGTCGCAGATTCGTCCGTGACCCGCATACACCGGATACGCGTGTTGGTGTTTTCGAGTTCTTTTTACACAACTGTTAGGAGAAAGTAATTTCGAGTTTTGGCTGGCGTCCTTGAAAATTTACGCCCTTGCGGTTTCAATGTTGATTGTCTGAAGTTCCGCGGTCATACCCGGGGTCATTTTATTATTTTGAAAAATTCTTTCAGACCATTATTTACTCTGGCTCAAGAGGTCCGTTCTCGAAATACCTATGACGAAGAATTAAATAAGAAAAATTAACCTCCCTAACCCAGGGTACCTTTTTTATACTTCATTCAGAATTTTTATTTTTGAAAAACTATAACATGATTCACTCAAAAGGACATCTGCATTTTGGTTTTGATTTGTTTTTTTTGTGTTTCTTTGAGCTCCCGTTTGCAAACGCTAAGAATTCTCGATTTTTTTGAAGGCACACTTGGCCTGATGGACAATTTTAAATGAGACGGGGCCCCACGTGCGTGACCCGCGCGCATTATGGCCAATCCTACATGTCATGTCTCCGCTGTCAGTCAGCAAAAGTCTACGGTCTAAACGCGATAAGCCCAGCAGTGTCTATGTGCTTTCTTGTAATTAAATCTTGTGGTTACATTTTTATGGCCCTTTCCGCTTCCAATATTTGGTACAGGAAAAGAATATTGCAAAAATGAAAAAAGGTACTTGTTTGTGCATGTATTTTGTTTTCACTTTATATACGATTAGAAATGTAATCATGTCTTTTGAAAGATATATTTCTGAGCATCTGAGGAAAAATANTCAGCAAAAGTCTACGGTCTAAACGCGATAAGCCCAGCAGTGTCTATGTGCTTTCTTGTAATTAAATCTTGTGGTTACATTTTTATGGCCCTTTCCGCTTCCAATATTTGGTACAGGAAAAGAATATTGCACCTACAAGGCCTCATACCTGGATGGCATGTTTTTATCTTTTATGCAGCGAAAGTATTTATAGATTTCAAGAAAGCGTTCCCGAAATTTCCCTTGTTTGATCTTCCATTTTATACGAACGAAAAATTTAAAAAGAGAATAGCTGTGTTTTCGGTGACTGGTTTTTAGCGGCGAATAATCTCATTAATCTTCCGATCCGTTAGTCGGGGATTGGGATGTTTATCCGCACAGTTTTGAATGGGTTATACTAAACAAACTGGTATCTTTTGCAGACAGTTTTGGCGTAAAACATATGTTTTAGATTGTTTGTTTTATACTATAGTTCAAGTTGTGCTGCTTTCTTTTAGATCCAAATTGCTCAAGGTTGCAATTGAAAGGGGTTTCCCGTCACTAATTGATGCTCATATAATAAGGTTTAAAATTGAAACGACACAGCTTCTAAGATTTCTCGTCCCTATTTGGTCCTGTTTGCTGCAGGTGGCGTTTTTCAATGCAGACAAGAATTTTATTAAATCCAAGGAACATGGATCAGGAAACACTGCACTTCATATGGCCTGTAGACACGGACACTTTGTGAGTATTGGAAAAATTATATCGAGACATTTGTATTTAAATTTCCTTAGAAGACCGAAAAAAACAGAAAATGAAAAGGAAAGAAACGGCGCCCAAAATTACGAAGCTTCTCAGATTGTCAGTTTGGGAAAACTACAAATGTTTGCGTCGGCCGTGTGGCACTTTTTTTCGTCATCGTGAGTTTCATTTTTCGAGTAGGCTATCTTTATATTATATTTTGCTGGTCGAGTCTAGTTTTCCTTCCTGGCAATTTATTTTTGCGATTCTTGGAAATGCATTCAAACTTTATGCATTTATTTTGAGTCAAAGGCAAAGCTAGAAGTAGTCTCTCATTTTTCTCAGGGTTAGCCTGTGTCAAAACCTAAATAATTTGTCAAGTGTAGGTGTGGCATAAGTTGCTTTTAATATATTATTCAGTATCAAAAATCAAAACTTTATTTATGTAAAACTTATAATAGCGACCGTGAAGTTTAGATATACGGTTGTGTTTCTCTCTGAGGACTGGTTTTGCAGATCCCAAAATAATTTTGGGCCTTTTCAATATTTATCATGTTTTCAAGTTAGGAAATTAATCTTTTCATGAAATCCCAAGTAACGATTAATTTGACTCCTGATTTTCAGGATATTGTGTTATATCTGCTGGAAAACGGAGCTGATATCGATATGTTTAATAATCACAACGACACGCCTTTTTTCCTGGCCACCGAAAGTCTACAAAAGGAGATATGTCAGGTAGCTAAGAATATTCAACAATTATACTACTAGATTGAGTTTCCTACGAGCCAATAGCCAACAAAACTGGCATCTTACTTTGATTCTACGCCAAGTTTTGGGGGAAAGATATAGAATCAAGCCTTTTTTTATTCAAATTTAATTCGCGACGAGAATTAATAGCTTCGTTTGTTAGTTGTGACAAATAAACCTGCAAGGTTGAAATTCTTACCATTTAAAATGTTCATTTTTCTTCAGATGAAATCTCAAAAACGAAATGTTAGTCTAACGAAATTACTATTGTTTTTGTTCAGAGCGCTGGCTCGATACACACAATCTATCGCGCAATAAATAATGAGTAGGAGAGCCAATCACTTTGCAGAATTCGCTGTAGCTTGCTAGTTGGTTCAGCTGTATCCGATAAAAACGCATCCGATGTGCACTGCATAAAAATCTTGAAGCTGATATCGATGTGTTTAACTCTGCCTCCATTGAGGTTTTTAAAAGGAGAGCCAGGCTGGAGATAATAAGAAGGCGGAAATAGAAAATTTACCCATAGTTTGTTGATCTTTGTAATTAATTGTTTATTTAGCTTTTTAATTTTTTTCATAATTGTAGTTGTAGCGTTCAAATTTAATTGTCTTTTATACATGTAATTTTTACCTATTTCGCACATTATCCTTAGTGAATAATCTTAAATTAAAATTAATTCTGAAACACCAATTGGGAGAATTAATAAATGTACTGTAAGCATGGCTAACGGAATATATGATTAGCTGAGTGACCGACTTGTTGACTGTCTTACACTTTTACCAAATTACTCAGCTTACGAATCATTCTCTCTTTTCCTGTTTTTAGCTTCTCATTGAATGGGGAGCTGACGTGATGAAACGTAACAAGAGCAGTAAAACAGCCTTTGATCTCATGCGACACTATGAACTCAAGAAGTTTTTAGAAGGTATGGTGCAAACGTACTTGTTTTTATGGGAGAGGGAGGGGGTTATTAGCCTAGTCATTGTCCTAATGATGCCTGCAATTGAAACCCTAAAGCCGCCCCCCCTTCCCCCTCATTCTCGCGCAGGTAGCCCAAATAGGAGAATATTTTACCTAAATTGTCAGGATTTTTAGTTATTTCCTTGCATGCGTTCAGCATAGTGGTGTTATTAAACTTTCTGTCCTATAGTTTGAACGTTTTTTTTTTCAGCAGTTTTTTTATTTGTTAACAAGAAGTATGCCTTTCGTTATGCTCGCTTATATAAACTATTCAGCAGGTAAATTCCTCAACAGCAAGGCGCATAGAAATAGTCTGTACGCCAGACTTTTAACCCTTTAAATCCCAATATCCACATGCAAATTCTCCAAACTGATCTCCATACATTTCTTTATAGAATTAGTTGAGAGAATAGATAGAAGATCAAAGCATTTTCTCTTTAGGTGATCATTTTATAAATTCTCGTAACCATTTCTCCTGACCATGTATTGCTATTGTTAGGGGGAAAATATATGGTGATTCACTGATCACTCTTAAGACTTGAAAGGGTTAAAACTGTCTCATGGCCGTTTTTTCTACACGTGCAAGAAAACCAGGCTACAAGCCTGCTCGTAGGCTATGGTATGGTCTAGCTGAAAACTTGCCTTTTGCGCATGCTATTAGCTCGGAACGCAGTTAAAATGATTGAATAAGGTGAACAATATCTGCTTTAGAGTCGTGTTACCTAGCTTGAATGTTTGGGTTTGGCCTGCCTACTCTGGCTGTAAACTGCAACCACGGCACAACTACTATAAAAGGAGTTGCAAAAGTGTTTTGTTAGTAACCTTGATCAAATAAACCCAAAACGCTTTTATTCCTTCACTTGATTCCAAGAAAACACGACGAGAACAAAGGCCTAGGCCAAACGTTGAACATTTGATTAGACTGATCAAACTTAGTGAGTTAAGGTCTTGAAAATTTCGACGTCTGGCTAAGTAAAGTTCATCTGTATGAGCTTGGATCGTCCAACGTGTTCTCATCGTCGGCTTCGGACGGATAGAACGTCTGAAGATCGTCTCCGACGATCGTAGATCTTCACATGCGACGAACTGGACTAATAATTAACAGTTTGTATGATAATGTATATTTAGCCTCGTTTGGGGGAATTTTATTGCTGATCTGATTCTGTTGATTGGTTCGACGCGTCTTAAGTTCGACGTCTGACCCAACAGACGATCTTAACTTAATTTGATCGACCCAAATTAGAGTTTGGTTCGTCTCATGAAAAGTTCGCCGTTTGGCCCAGGCCTTAGTTATTGGTGTTTGTTTTCTACTGTTCCTTCTGCAGGTAAGTATAAAGAATGGCATCAGCTTGTTCCTCAGCTGATATCAGGTGATATCAAGAAGCTGACTAAAGTGGTAGACTCGCATCACAGGAGAGAGAACATGTTGGCCAGTTTGAGAAGCAGGTAAAACGATTATCTCCAGAAAAATGTTTGGCTAATCCCTCATATTGATAATGGCTATTCAGGGAACTTAGTAGTAGCTTTTCAAGAGAAGGTCTAGCTGGGCTTGCTTAGTGCTGCTTCAGAGAACGGTTTCTTTCAAATGTCCCCAGACCAATTAGACCAGTTGTTTAAAAAAGCACCTACCAATTTTGTTTTTTGCCCAGTATCATTCACTACCAAACCCTTGTGAACTCTACTGATGAAGGGCAAGGCCTGAAACGTTTGGAGAGGAACTAATATCGCAAGACTACCACTTTTGTTCATTACTATTTTTTTGTTGAACATTCTTTCAATAACGTTTTTTATTGCTGTTTGAACACTACTGGAAACTTCTTTTCATTTTATTCTTTTCAGGTGTGTAAGCGGTAGCACACTGCTCCATACCGCTTCTTTCTTTGGAGCTATACCAGTTATCAAGGTACAATTTTCATACTTTCCGCCATGTTCCCATTATAACGTTTAACGAAAATGCTTTTATAAGTTGCCTGTATCAGCTAATCTCTTCTCATCTGTTGTGAAAGACATTCAAACATGTATTTAACGCGTGTAATTACGGTACCGAAATCGACCTCCGAAGGTTCCCGTTTGGACTCTTTGATCGCTAGGACGGGTGGAGCTATCTCTTGGTAGTTCCAAGTTAAACTTTTTCACTTCTCCTCTCACAAGTGGAATTTTAATTGCGTGTAGCTACATTTGTTGCTATTGTTTTCTATCATTATTTCTAGTTAAAAACGAAAATCAATGGTTATGTTGACTGTTGCTGTGTTTTGTCTCAGACCCTGCTCTCCGAGGGTGTAGACGTGAATATTTTAGATTACAAAGGAGCCACGCCCCTTCACAGAGCCAAAGATGCCGCAACTGTAGAGGTAACCTGGTGCTTTTGTTTACGCCCGATTATTCGCTTTTTTTTTAACACTTTTCCGTCCATCCTTAAAAATACTTTTAATTTTGACATCGAAGAAAACTATCAACAATCTTCATTTTGCGTAACATCTCTCCATATCTCCCTAATACCTTCATCTAACTCATTGCTAAGGTTCGTATCGTTTTCTTTTGTAGCTACTCCTTGAGGCAGGATCAAATATTGACAGTGAAGACCACGATGGCAACACACCACTGCATGTGAAATGTTATGGCGAGAGCGGAGAACCTACAGACTTGGAATGCATTGAGAAAATGGTAAGATTAACTAAAGCACTTCAAACCTCCACCCATAGCAAATCACATCATGGATAATAGAAAGACGATCACGTAGAGTTATGAAAGTTTCAAAACACCTGGTCCTCTCTCATATTCAAACACCCGCTTGACAGGATACGTCCCTCTTTTTTTTCCTTCAAGTTGACTACTTTTTTTTTAAATTTTAACAGTTGATGAAAGAAGCTCCACTAAACATCAGAAATAACCGAGTAAGTATAAAATACGGAACTTAAACGATGTTGCCTACGAACACGGGTAGGGTACCTGTTTCCTATGCCTTGATACCAACCAAATATGGTTTTTATCCATGTGGTTTTGGCATTTTTTACTCTACCTGGTAGTGGATATCTGCTGCTACAAGTTTGGATGATTTAGTAGTTCCCGTACCAATCTTCCCCCCCTCCCAATTTCCAAGGGAACAACTTTGAGGACGAGTTTGCTCGTTTTTTAGACTCTCCTAGCTTTCTTCTTTTCTCTCTCTTGCTACATGGAAGGGAAGGAAAGAGACCATGGGGGACAAGGTTTTTGTGGCACGCTGGAAACGGTTTATCGTGAAGTCTCTCATATCGCGTCCACTATCCGTGCTTCGAAGTTGCTTACATCTCGAAACGGTAAGCGAAGCAAGGTCTCTCCTATGAGTTTTTTCCCTCCGCCTTCTGTTTCTAGTTTCTGCATTTTCGTTTTGTCACTTTCACTGAAGTATTACAATCGTGTTGATCTAAAACTACCGTGTTGAAAACCATTCTTGCGGGTACGTGATCTTGGTTATACTTTCTAACAATCAAAATGTGTTCACTTTTTTAGGATTTAATGCCGATTCACTGTTGTGCCATGCAAGGCCGGATGGACGCCATTCAAGCCTTGCTGTTCTTTGACACTGAAGAGAGCATAAAACGAAACTTGGAAATGGAGAGTGAGGTACTTAAAAACTACATTTCGGCTGTTCTACTACGCATGTTCATGTTAACCGCGCCAAACACATCGCGTATCAGGTTACACAGTCTTACAAACCAAAGAACAGTAAAAGACAATGCTTACCACCGGCATAAAAGAAAGGTTTTTCCCTCTGATTGGTTGAAAAATTAACCTATCACAAAGGCTTAGCAGAAGGGCACCGGATTTCAATGTCAGTTTTGTTCCCAGAGTCTCTCGCAGAAAAAAAAAGAAAAAAACCTCTGCAAACCAGATTGTAAGGATAATTTAAATTCGAACGCTAATCGATTTCTTGTATGTATATTACAGAAAACCCCGCCCAGCTTACTTCATTTGTCTGTAGCCAACGACTTCCTTGACTGTGCAAAATGGTACGTATATTGGAATTAATAAAATAAGAAAAAGTAAAAGTAACATTTTTAGCAACTTACTTACTGTAATTAAAATCAAATGAAGGCATGCTTGAACATAACAAAAATCACTTGAGAATGATAGACCTTATTCACGATACCCGTCAACTTCTCACGCTCTTTAGGATCGATGGGATAATAGTAATGTCACGATGACGTGATATGAAGTAAATGACCGGTGTCAGCAAATAAGGTGGGCGTTTAAGGTGTGTTAGTCTCCATTAAGATTTTTTATATTCAATTCTTAGGTTGGCGGAGAACAAATTCGAATTTAAAGAAAAGGAAACAGATCTTCTTGTTCATAAGATCTTACTTGAGGAAGTTCCATGGTAAGTTAAATCAAATGAGCCCCAGAGTGTCTCTACCGTTTAAACTATTTTCCACAGTGTCACGATTTCAGTGACACTGCAAACAGGTCAGTAAAGATCTAGACGATCAAATGCGAGTCTATTTTTGAGATAAGGATGAAAACGTCTAATTTGCATCATAAATTAAATGTGACCAGCTTCAATCGCGGGAAAACCTTTGGACGATGCGGGTTGTTAGAGAACCCAGTCAGGGGCGTAGCTAATTATACTCACGGTACACACGTGCGTACCTGAAAAATCGAAGATGTTATATAACAATTAATACTGCGGGATAGATACGAAGCTTGAGCGGTTTGCGACCATTGCAGTGGTGTAGACCTCGAAGCCAGGTACTTGATAACTTATAACTGCTCGCTTAATCATTTTGGTGAAAACGGTAAAGGATACGTGCGTTATTGCGTTGTTTAATTCACTTTTCAGTTGTTATATTGTGTTTTTTTAGTGGCAATCGTGTCGAGACCGTTCGATTTCTATTGGGTAAAGGTGCCTCCGTTAACCCAACATACCCTGGAGGAAACACGTAAGAAATGATTTTGTTTTTGTCATTATTTACTTTCTTATTGAGGAACAAAAAGTATATCTGCGATCTTTGAAGTCGCAAATATGTCGGAAGAGACGATTTTGTTATTAAATACAAACACTAATGACACAATGCAATCATAGAGGAGCCTGACCTTGCAGACACGTGTCTTCAGCCCTTTTTTTTTTCTTTTTCGTTTTCCAGGGCTTTGCATCTCACTGCTGGCTTGGTGAATGCTTCAGATCTTTTGGAGCTGTTGCTCTCGTTTAACGCTGATGTCGATGCTATGAATGATGACCTGTGCTCCCCGCTGTTTTACGCCACTCAGTCAAACAATTTGTATGCTGCTAGCCTTCTTCTTAACCACGGTATGTAAAGACACAGGGACTAGTAGTTTAGGATACTTTCTGAGCTTTTCTGCACCTTTTGATTGTCAACCATATCTATTCTGTAACGTCATCAAGTACTTATGCGTCAGTTGTAAAAAATAACAACAACAACAACAAAACTTTATTAACAAACAAATAAAATTACAGAAGTATTGCCCTCAGCTAGCAAAGCTATTCGAGGCGGGACAATGCGTGCAAAATATAAAAGTAAAGACTTAGACTATTAACTAAGGAAAGTTTACAGTTTAGAAATAAATGGAATAAAAATCGTAATAGGGATGAGGACTAGATAACAGACTATAAAAAAAAAAAAAAAGAATTAAACAAATAAATTGTAAAAGTAGAAACTATAATAAGCAAGAATTTATTTTTCGACATGTTTGGCTAATTGAAGCTTTAATTAGGGTGGGCGTATCAATATAGTCATCTTCTGAATTCAGAATATTAAAAAGTAATTTTCAGAGTGTTTTTTGAACTTATTCTTGGGTAGATGTCGGATATGACAGGGTATCCCATTCCACAGCTTAGCCCAAAGCGAGAGAAAGACAGTTTATATAATTCTAGAAATACGACTCACGTGGCCAGCATCTCTGGAATTTATTTGAACAAAAGAAATCATTTACATAAGAAAAGAATTCAACTCCTACAGGATTGGTTTGGGACACCAAAATGGCCGCCGTTTCATTGTTTTGGGACACCAACATGGCCGCCGTGACGTCGTGTGAAAACGTTCTATCATGTGTCGCCTTCAGCTCGGCACACGCGTGGTCATTTTTGTCTCTCGCGTGTTTCGCTCGGACTAAGAAAAAAGAGAGGCTGCACGTGGTCTATCAATAAGACGAAAGACATGTATTGCATAGTCTCCCTCGCAGCCGTTTTGTGGATGTCACGCAACGGAGCGTTGCGTGACATCCAAAAAACGGCTGCGAAGGAGACCATGTATTGCAGGGCTGGGCCCCTTTTGATACCAGCCAATGGCTGATAGGGCTACCCTGCCTAAATAAACGTGACTTTGACTTTGACGTTATTGTACCAGTCTTTTGCAATTTGAAAATGCCTTTCTTTAGCACCAACATGCATTTTCTTTAGGCCAGTTGTATGATAGACTTCGACTACAAATACAAGAATCGAAACCATTTTGATCCTTCAGTGGCGTGATTGGTTACCAATCTATCATTTAGTCAGTTAAGCGATTATTGTCAACCTCGCTCTCAAGATCGAGTTAGGGAGGGCCCTGGGAACGAGTTTGGATCATTTTGAGATTTATTTCAAGGCATTTTTTTTTTCTTTTTTGCAAACAGGGGCCAATGTGCGGTTACGAAATCTACAAGGTGAAATAAAAACGTGTCTTACTTTATACATCTTAGTTTAGAAGTCGTAAACAACGTTGTGTCATTGACTAAGCGTAAGATCAAAGCGGCTGGATTTTGGCCAAGTTCTTTTTTTTTGCATTTTTATTTACCAAGAGGAAGTCAGCCATCTTGACCGCACAAAATTGCCCAATAAAAGATTCATTATATGCCTATTGCCAGAAAGAGAACTTTTACTTTAGGGACAAACGCGGAAAATCCCGAGTATCTTGCCCGTTCGAGTAGCCAATTAGAATGAAGGATTGACTTCATCTTGTCCACTCGCGGATTCAGCTATATTATATATTGATCTTATTAGCCGTTTGCTTATGTTTATTCATTTTGTTACAGGGTTGACAGCCTTCGATTTTATTTCTGATTTTGAGGAGTGGATTGAATGCGGTTACTTTAACGAAGAAATCAAAGCTCGATTAAAAGGTAAACACCTTGGATGCTCGAATGTTTGAGTTTGGAGAAAACGATAGCCAAACTTTCTCTACACTCGTGATTTTCTTTTTTTTAGTTTTAAATGCTCATTATTGAGTTTCCCAGGTGGCCGGACAGCAAACGGAACAAAGACAAGAAAGGTGTTATGTAGCAGCTGCTCGCGCGGAAGAGAAGTCACCAATGGTGCCTAACCCTAACCCTAAACAATACTAAGACCCTGTTTACATGGAGTGGGGGATCCCGGTCTAGTGGGGTAAGTTTCTTTTGTTTTGTGTCCCCCAGAGCGTGAAAACAAAAGAAACCAACCCTACAAGACCGGGGTCCCCCACTCCATGTAAACAGGGTCTAAAACAATTGAAAGAATGACATGTCATTGTTTCCTTGCGACCAATCAGGAGAGACCTTACGAGCAGCTCCTACACAACTTCAAGAAAGAGTTTGAGGAATCTCAATTTCTTTTTTTGAAGTGCTTTCGCTCAGCGTCTTTGCAAATTAATTGGAACAAAAGAAAGCGTCTACAACTCCCACAAAACGGGTTGTGTTTCATATACCGGAATTTGAAATAGTTAATAAGTAACAAAGCATAGATAACATTAACAACAGATGTCGGTGTATGACAGTGGATAAAGAACGGAGCATCAATAACAAAGAAATTAAAAACAATAGATTCTGGTACATGAACGTCTAACCCACAAGATTGGCTTGGAACACCAACATCGCCACCGTTTGACTCTCATTATATTGAAACACAAATATGCCCGCCCGTTACATCATGTGAAAGCGCTGTATGCAGCGAATTTAGTTAACTAACTGAGTTTTTTCAACTTTCTTAGTCGACAACTACTAAAACGAGAAAACATCACGGTTTTTTTTTTATTATTTCTTTTAGCCTACAGTCTCAAACATGCTAGAGACCTGGTACGAGCCATAACCAAGAAAGTAAAGAACCAGCTCCCAGCTTCTACGTCACAGAGATCCCAGCCTGCTTTGCCAGGAATCGGTACTGGTCACGTGCCTCTCATGTTGCCACCTATAAAAAGGGACCGATGAGTTAAACAAGTTCAACTCGTTCCCACAAAGGCTGGAAGGCCAAGCTGAATGAACAGTTTTGCAGAGCTGGAGAGAGTTCTATAAAGCTCTGTCGTTGGGAGTGGAGAAAGCAAACAATTTGATAGTGAATTACGAAGTTGTTGTTTTCGCCTCCCGCCTAATATGTTTTTAACTGGCAATATATTTTCGGCCCTTTTTTGTTCCTCACTGTGACAATAGACCACGTTCGATATATTAAAATTCTAACATGACTCCGAGGCTTTAGGGTCAAAATTGCAAATTCACGGCTCCACTGTCTTGCAATTCCCAGAAGAGACTTAAAACTCCAAATATAGAAAAATGATCAGAAAGCCTCGGAAACATTAGAATTTTAATATATCGAACGTGGGCTAAAGAGAGAAGATATCGTTACATATGTGGCAGAAAAAAAAAACGAAAAAAATATGACTTTCCTATGCACAATTGCTCTCAGGAGCAAGACTGTAGCCCAAACTTTTCTTCCATTGTTCGACAGTGCAAATGGCCGTTTCTGTCAAGAAAGATCGTTGAAATCCAGAAATTTTTCTACCATGGTAACGTGAAATCACACTTCCTGTCTCTATTGTAATCTATCTATCCTTTTTTATTTCGCCTTTGGCTTTTTCTCGCTTGTTTCAAAACTTCCGATTAACATCCAAACGAACGTGCTCCTGATCATCTCCGAATTACACAATACGGCGCCGTCTTAAGAAAGAAACTCACACACAACCACACACACTCCACCCTACAGAGTAAAAGCAAAAATATCGAGAATTGTATTTATTTTCTTGCCAAATTAGATGTGAAAATCTCCCGTATTGATAACACAGACCAGAGCTACTGCTTCTTACAAATATTTTTATATTAACAACAGTTAATTGTTCACATTTTAAAAACCAATTATTAAAAAAAGAAAAATCGAGCCAAAGTTAGGCTCAATTTAGCCTAGAAGCAAGACATTTTGCATTAAGGGACTGAATTGAATTGTGAATTGAATTGAATTGAATTGAACCGGACTTTCTCCTCCAAATCTGTATTTTGCTTTCCATAGTTGATCTTCTTTCTCTCATTCTCGAAAGCGGGGATCACGGGCATTTTATACAGCGGGTCCATACCCTAGGTGCCAGATGTTTTTTGTTTTTTTTTTCATAATGGAGAGATTTTAAGATTCACGTTTACGCCAAAAGGCAGACGTGAATTTGTACCACATGACCAGGGTTTCCCTTATTTTCCGTTTACCCTTTATTGCTTCTGCACAGAAATATGTAGTTTTATGCTAGTTTTAACGATAGGAATCGTTCCGGACTGTTTTTATCAGTTTATTTTCTATTCTGAGAAATTCTCAACTTGAGTCTGACGTTTGCTGTTTGCGATAAACGTGAATCTTAATCTCTCTAATTATCAAAGAATGAGTACGGTTTATTTTGTCCTAGGTATTTTGAAAATGGACGTCTGGAACCAGGTGTTAGCTGGTCCAAGCCCCCACTAATTTAATATTCTACTCAATGTTACTCCCTTACTCCTTAACAGAAAAAGTACTTTTTTCACACCGGTACCAGCCTGGGTTGCTTGTGCCCGAAGTATATCCCAATAAATTTGTACTTATTTTACATACGTACTTACAAACAGTGCATTCCTAAATTTTCTTTAACCCAGCCCCAAAAGACATTGCCAGACAACACGAGATAAACATAGTAGAGCCGGAAGGATCGTAAGTTAGAGGAAGGTGCGTCTGCCTGTCTCTATAAAATACCAAAAGGACAGATTTCGTTGTTAGTGTGAATAGGGCTTCTGTTCACACATCCGAACTGGTAATTTAGGCGCGATTTCTGTAACAGAGCGCAGCTGCGCCGCCCCGATCTGTGAGATGGAAAGTCACATCGGATGCAAGAAGTATTTATTCCATACCGGATCGCTTTACGTGTCGACTCGAAAAGCTATCCGGCCATATAGCCTTACTCTTGCACCTCCAAATCCAAACTGAAAATATACGAGGTACCAAACATCAAAGAGTCCCGGGTGTGGCGGTCAGCAGTCAAAACTCCCTCCTTATCTATCGGACATCTCTGACGTACAACTCGCTTAAACGCCACAGTTATTACCTTCGATTCCTTCCTCTTTTTTAAGAAGTGTCATTACAAGACTGACGTCTGTCTAAGATGGACACAGAGTGCGCGTCCCAAGGGTGTGCGTTTTTAGTAACACAGAGTTGATAGAACCTGGGAAAGCACTCCCTTATTTGGCCTAAACGGAAATGTGCCCCTGAACTGCAGGGTCTTAAGTCTTGATCAGGAGATTCTATTTCACTGAGTATTTAGCGTCTTGAACAGAAGCCTTTAAAACATGAGTGTGAGGGATGGCGATGAGGGCTCTAAGTTTGTGGTTCCAGCAATGTAGTTTGAAAAATCACTTAACCTTTGGACAAGGAGGGTTCAAGAGGGTCCCGAAAGATCAAACATCAGCAATAGCGTTTTCTTCAGTAGCTGTTCGTTTATTCCGCGCACGAACTTTGAGACAAGTTTAGGTGATGATCAGTTTCTATGGTTACGAGATATGACGTCATAAGTAGCAGATAACGCGGCGGGTTGACAGTCCTGATGTTATTCCACTTGTTTCAACGATAAAAGGAAAACTTGTAGATAAGTGATGGAAAGTACTTATTTATGTGTTATTTTACATGTCAAGCATAGGAAAATACCAATTTTCTCCGATTATTTTTTAAATTTACCTGGTATCTAACTCTGGGTAAAATCCAATATGGCGAATATGTTTGGTGACGTCACAGGCTTCCAGCAGGGCCACCACCCATGAAGTATTATAAACCCTGTTACGCTGTATGCAGCGAATTTAATTAACTAACTGAGTTTTTCAACTTTCTTAGTCGACAACTACTAAAAAAAGAACATCACCGTTTTTTTTATTTCTTTTAGCCTACAGTCTCAAACATGCTAGAGACCTGGTACGAGCCATAACCAAGAAAGTAAAGAACCAGCTCCCAGCTTCTACGTCACAGAGATCCCAGCCTGCTTTGCCGGGAATCGGTACTGGTCACGTGCCTCTCATGTTGCCACCAATAAAAGGGACCGATGAGTTAAACAAGTTCAACTCGTTCGCTCAAAATGAATGAATGAACAGCTTTGCAGAGCTGGAGAGAGTTCTATAAAGCTCTGTCGTTGGGAGTGGAGAAAGCAAACAATTTGATGGTGAATTACGAAGTTGTTGTTTTCGCCTCCTGCCTAATATCTTTTTAAACCGGCAATATATTTTCCGTTTTTTGTTCCTCACTGTGTTCGTTTATTCCTCGCACGAACGAGACAAGTTTAGGTGATGATGTAGCAGATAACGCGGGGGGGTTGACAACCCTGCTGTTATTCCACTTGTTTAAACGATAAAAGAAAAGCCTTTGAATAAAATGATGCAAAGTACTTATTTATGTGTTATTTTGCATGTCAAGCACAGAAAAATACTAGTTTTCTCCGGCCGTTTTTTTTAATTTACCTGATATCTAACTCTGGGTACAATCCATACATGGCGAATACGTTTGGTGACGTCAAAGGCTTCCAGCAGGGCCACCACCCATGAAGTCTCGTAAACACCATCTTACCGAGAAGATCAAAGGCTTTCCACTGAAGGTAAAATCTTTTCGAAATGCTCTAACATAACGAAAACTCGAAGGGGGGCTCCATCACACCCCCAACTCACTAACTACAATGGGGTCGAGATGACTTTGCGTGTACGTCCAAGGGTTAAACGAATCAGAGTCATAAAAAAGTTCTCATCTTAAACATGGTAAGAAAATGAACAAGGTTTTGTCTTAAACGACCTTAAACAGGGTTAGGGTTGGAAGGTCTCGTTCTAACTTACGGTAAATTCCGGACCTGTGTGACTCGAACAAAACGCTCTGCTGGTGATGTCAATCATTGGTCGTCATCCGTTAACCAATTCAGACTCAACATCCCGTGCAGGATCAGTCATCCATGGATGTTATTTTCACGATTCTGATGTTATTTTGCTTCGTTGAAGTTTATAGTTAAGATCCTATGGAAGGCATAGAAGCAACATACGAAAAACTCAAAATATCGGTTCCTTCATCCCATGGAGTTGTCGACGTCACTGTTTTAAGAAAGTCTGGGAGACCTGCAGGTACGGGCGCATTCAATTCATGATGGTACATTTATGCAATCAGATGCAATGCGGGTGGAGACCTGTACTAATTGAAAGGTTTTTCCTTTATAGAATACCAAGTTTATAACGGTTATTTGGCTTCGTCGACTGTCCATCGTCATCACTTAGAAAAGATAATACTGGTGGCTTTCGATGCAAGTATTATCACTATAACGAGAGATGTTACTGTCCTTACTCCGAACAAGTACACCGTCGACCCGGCGAGTTTAGAGGTGGATCAGTCTGAAGTATGGATTGATGCATGACTTAACACATCAGCGCGTTAGCAAACAGGAGGCTTATCTTTACTCAATGACTGGAAAAATAATCTACAGCTGAATGTACATTACTGTAATTATATAGGATTACTCGATGCAACGATTCTCACCGGTGACCTGTATGATGTACATGTTAGTCCAACCTGGCAGAGCCTGTACTGTAGATTTACAGCGATACACAAAGCGACGTAGACTTGTCGTGTAAACATATCGTGTGAGATGAATGTGTAGCGTTTAAATAGACCTTATTCACACTACTCGACATATTCGCGCCCCTTTGGTTTGATGGGATAAAAGCAATTACAAATGGTATTTCAGGGGACGGACAAGATAGAAAATTTTGCCAGTACGAGTAATCCCGTATCGAGTATAATTTGTTTATTCTCTCAAAACGAGACGACGATTTTAGTCTGTCACTGAATGTACAGTCCAAGTTTCGATAAGTTTCAGAAGTTGAAAGTCATTATATTCGCAAAAATAAAAATGCTCACTTCCACTGGGCATAATTGACCATAATTTGCCATATCGTGTTTTTCCTTCTTTGTTAAACCACGTGATCTTGCTTTTATCCCATCATTCCATTAGCGCGTGCAAAGATGGCTGAAATATAAATAAATATGTCTTCCTTAGCTGTCCGATCAGCCTTGCCTTCAGTTTTAAGTGTTATTTTGTATTGCTGATCCTGATCTACAACTTGATCTAGCTTTCCCTCGCTGCTGTTTGTCCACGTGGTCCTTGCAAGAATTGATGGTAAAGAAGGTCTATTGGCCTGGGCCGGGTTGTTCAAAGCAGGGTTAAGTTAACCCAGGGTTAGTGCGAAATTTGATTTCAGATATGAAAGCTTGAGAAGCAAATTCAGTTTTATTCTTTTTGCCTACAAGTTGATGATTGGAGGCTCTAAAAAGAAGGGAGAAAATTATCCGGGAAAATGCTTTTGAACAAAAGAAAAAAAACAGGTTAAAATTTAACCCTGGGTTAGCGCTAATCGGCTTTCGAACAACTGGGTCCTGTTTTTTTGGTTTGTTTTGTTTTATTTTATTTTCTCAGAGGTGTCCCAATTACAGCTTAGATTTCATCATTAGTAAACATGATTTGAGAGCATGAAAAGTAACCGAGACCAGGGTCTGACGAATAACGCATCTTGTTGAGCCAAACGAGAATAACGGGCAAATAATTCTTCTGTGTCAGACTTTGTGAGATGATAATGATAATGATCATAATGATGACGTTGGATATAAGAGTTTTTTTTTCTTTTTTGATCGCAGTGATTTTTCACCCACTTTAGAAACTGTCCGATAAATACTGGGCTTGGAAGAAGAACAAGTCGAGATAAGCGGTGATCACACCAAATATGAGGTACGTGATGTTCTAAAATAACCCACTCTTCAGGTCCACCTCATATTCGATTCTTGGTGCCAATCAAGGCCTTTCTCGCTTCATTAGAAATATCTGTCGTTTATATATGGAGCACCTGTACAAGCTGATTTCTGTCTAAGACAGACACCTTTTTGACCGGCGCTATGTGTCCATCTTAGAGAGATGTCCGTCTTATAGAGAGTCAACTAAAAGGAGCAAAGAAAGGCAGGGACAAACTTTAGGTATCCGTCTTAGCGAGAGGTCAGTTAATTAAGAGCTCACTTTACTTCCTTAAGAGAGAGACGCATTACATAAAGTTTTGTTTGGTTGAGAAAAAAATTCGCGCTGCTTTACAAACTACTCTGTTTAGGGTTTCACTGACTATACTTGATTGAAAACCGCGGACGAGTATCTTATAATTGTGTGGATAGCCTGTGTGCACACGCCTCTCCTCTTATTTTTTTTGTTTGTCTTTTGAATTTTAAACTTTAATTTTTATCTGAGGGAGGGGGCGTTTGTACGCAGGCTATATGGGGATATCCTTGCAATCATCCAGCGTACCAATCACCGAGAAGTATCGGTTTCTATGACCTCCCTATTACATAATTTGCCGGTTATCTTTCTCTTTTTTCAGATATACTTTGAAAGTTCATCAAGAAATAAGACGTTAAAGGCCGGATCCTGGTATGTTATTAAACTGAAACCTTGTGTAATCCCGACCAAACAACGAACGTGAACTGACGTTTTACATCTTGCATGAGCAAAAATGAATCCGTCTCCCAAGTTTGGTAACAGCCATTGTGTAGCTACCGTTAATCCTGTGACGCGTCGAGAGGATCCACTAGACCCATACTGTGCTTTTTTTGAAAATTCTTTTTGGCTTACAACCGGTTTTGTCTTTAACTAAAAATGGATCTGTGAACAGACTATATTGCTTATGATATTCATTGTTTTGTTAGCCTTTGAACAGGCCCGCTCTGTTTGGGAAGAGCGATTTTTTCACCCCTTCATCAAACAGAGAGCCTGTTCACAGGCTTATTGTTTGTCAATTTGTGATTTGAACTTGTTTTTGAGTGTATATCTGCGACGTTATTGATAGTTTGTCAGTATTATCTGATTTTTTGTTAAACTATCTATGGTGACGATATTCATCATTTGCCAATTTTATTGGAGCTTTTGCTGCTGTGGAATAATGAAATCTTTACGAATTAAGTTCCTCCTATAGTTACGAACGCTAAACAAACTTGTCGTTTTCTTTTGCCTTTAGGTTTCTGTATCAGATTTTTCCAGGTACTACACTGCTATGTCAGCGATTGTTGTTCAAAGCAGCAAAAACTGGAGAGCTGGATACTGTACAAAAACTGGTATGAAAAGTTATTTGTTGTAAATTTCTTTTTTAATGCGAGTCTCGAGGGGGAGTGGTTACAGTAAATAAATGTTAGTTAAGTCGTTAAGCTAATGCCCTCTGGTGTTTGGCTAGTACTGAGCGCTTTCTAAAGGACAAAGGAGACTGCTTAGTTCAACCTTTGTATTTACCAAAATATTTTAAAAATTTACCCAGCCATTTCACGGACTCGCTGTTATCCGGAATAAAGCAAACGACAGAATGAAGTCGAAGACTAAGTTTAAATCGCTTGTTTAGACTTTTATTTCCCTCTCAGAAGCTTATTTATGATTCGTAAGGAAAGTACAAAGGAACATTATCAAATTAATGTTATCATTTCTAATGTAGACACGGCTAAACTTTACACCCAATAAACATGGTCAAAATAACCCTTAATCTACATATTAGTGCAAGAATGAATAGATCTGTGGAAGTCATTCAAAAAGTTCAAAATTCATGTTTTACCACTAGCTTCACAAAGGAATTCTGCTTGCACATTAACCCACCACACGCTACATCTGATGGACATACAATATTTACTTGCATGTATTATTCTTGTGTCTTTAAAAACTCGATATTAGGAATTTGAACGTTACTTTTACAAACTTCGCCTCTGCTGCAATTTCGTTTAAACTTGTGACAACTCGTTATCCTTCTATGTACGCTTTTCAATAATCAGGAAGTTAACTTACGGCCAAAAAGGTGATAAATGTCAACTATCAACAACCATATCGTACTTAAAAAGTACTTATTTACAAATACTTTTAATCGAAGTTTAGTGGCGCGCGCGGCTTGATCAGTTCAAATTTCAGTTATCCTTCACGCCGGAGGCTATCATTTGAAACCATTCTTTACAGGCATTTACTTTTTGAAGTTGATTTGGGTCAGTCTCAACGAGTTTCGATTTATGTTTTAATTACCGGTAATTTATTGTGTATATGAAATGCTCTTTTAATAACATTTCTTTCAATGTGATGAAATCTTTTTAATTGCTGTCGTCTGTGGTGTAAACTAAGTACAAATTTTCATAATTCGTGAAAAAATAAGTTCGGCTCTAAACTATTTGAACGAGCCAAACTTCCTTCAGTTTGTGTTAAAGATGCAGCTAAGATATAAACAACGTTTTCGGTCTGTTCCGGAGGCCTTAAATTGCGTGCCCTCAATAGCCCTAACCCTTGAGTCGATGAAACGTGTCCGTGACGTATATATTATATATTAGGGAGCTTTTATTAAAACAACACGACGGTGACGTCAGCGAAAACGTCATTGTAAAAAAGTTTCCGCTTTTCCTCAAAGTTTTTCGAGATTGTTTCAACTCGCTTTAAGTGCCAAATGCAAGCTAATTTTCCCAGAACTGGTCCCGCGGTGTAGTGAATCGCTAATAGGCCCGTTCTTAGCTCATATTGGATGATTCATTGTCCTAGTGTTTAAAACATCACAAAGATTACTTATTGTTATATTTATCATTAGCAACATACACTACAGCATAGCTGGTGTTCCTTTCCTCTAGGGTAACTGAAGGTTAATTTTTATTTAAACCTCTCCTCATAGTCTCTTGGATTTCACTAAGTAATGAACAAACGCAACAAAAAATTAGTCAGAACGAAAAGTTGTCAAATTTATGATGTTGCTTCCCAATCAATTATTTTAGTGTGCAGATTGCGCATTTACAGCGCTGGGGAAAACAGACGTTTTTAATTGTCTGTTAACATGGAATAACGCTGGTCATTTTTTTAACAGCTTGGTAATTTGAGTTTACGAAAAGACGTAGTTAGTATTTTTGCATACTCCGAAGAAAATGACTGACCTAATGACAGGCAATCCGGAGGCCTCGAGTTTAGTTCCTTAGTCGTGAGTTCAAATTGAAAAAATCGAAAATATTTTTTTTTTGCCTTGTTCCGGCCAGTAGTATTCTTCCATTTGAATTATTTGTTTCAGAGATTTGGTCTGGCCCATAGCTTTTGTGCTGTAAATACTGCCGAGGGCAACAAAATACACTTATTTCATTTACAGAAAGCATTCTGTCCTAATTCCTTTGGTTTACTTATTGGAAAGGTCAATTGCAAATAATTACAAGTTATTAAGCAGCGAATGACTTATAATTACCGTTCGTTCGTCATGTTCCTGAGGGCGTTTGTGGGCAGCAGGTCTGTGTGCTGATCTTTGCTCTCTTGTGTCCATCTCTGGAGCCTGATGAACTACTAAGACTCGTTTCTCGTCGTCTGCTCTCATAGCAGGGTAAATCTTT